CAGCGCGCCCCTTAGAAGGGGCATTGTGGTGGCCCAACCCCCCCCCCCCCGGTCACTTTGACGTCACCTCTGTGGGATGGCCTCTTGCTTTGTCTGGCGGGACTGCTGACGCTCTTGCTCTCCAAGAACCAAACCAGACTCTGATGTACGCCGGAGACACTTCTCTCTGGTTGCTTCAAAACGTTTTTATGCTGCCGAGTCCCGCTCTAGGCAGCTCACGCAATAGATAAATATGAAAACAACAAGCCCTTGAACATAAAACAACATAAGAACGACCCATAAAGCCAACCGTTTTTAAAAAGCTGATAAGGCAAAGCCCCTAATTAAAAGCCAGTTTGGTGTAGTGGTTAAGTGCGCGGATTCTAATCTGGGAAAACCGGGTTTGATTCCTCACTCCTCCACTTGCACCTGCTGGATGACCTTGGGCAAGCCATAGTTCTGTCAGAGCTGTTCTCTTAAGGACAGTGCTTGAAAGAGCTCTCTCAGCCCCACCTACCTCAGAGGGTATCTGTTGTGGGGAGGGGAAGGGAAAGGAGTTTGCAAGCCACTCTGAGACTCTGAGTGAAGGGCCGGGTATAAATCCAATCTCCTCCTCCTCCTCTTCGTCTTCTTCCTCTTCTTCTTCTTCTTCTAAAAGCCCTGTGGGGAAAAGATGTGTTCTAGCCTGGCACTTAAAAGAAAGTAAAGTAGGAACCAGGGCAGTCTCAAGGGGGGAGGGTGTTCCAGAAAATTCCCCGTCTCTGGTCACCACCACCCGTCTCACCTCTGAAGGTAGGGATAGCAGGGCTTGAGGGGCAACCCTTAAGTGGTGGGCTGGATGAAATGGGAAGAGATGGTCCTTTAGGCATTTAAGAACACGAGAAGAGCCGTGCTGGATCAGACCACTGAGAGTCCATCTAGTCCAGCAACCTTTTTCACACAGCGGCCAACCAGCTCCTCTGGATGGCCAACAATAGGGAATAGAGGCCAAGGCCTTCCCCTGAGGAGAGCATCAGAAGAGCCCTGCTGGGTCAGACCAGGGAGGGTCCCTCTAGTCCAGCCTCCTGTCTCACACAGGGGCCAACCTGTTCCTCTGGAGGGCTAGCAACGGGGCAGAGAGGCCGAGGCCTTCCCCTGATGTTGCCTCCTGGCTCTGGGATTCAGAGGATTAGTACCTCTGAAGGTGGGGGGGTCCCACCATGGCTAGTAGCTGTTGATAGACCTCTCCTCCATGAATCTTATCTATAAGAACATCAGAAAAGCCCTGCTGGGTCAGACCAGTGAGGGTCCATCCAGTCCAGCCTCCTGTCTCACACAAGGGCCAACCAGTTCCTCTGAAGGGCCAGCAACAGGGCACAGAGGCTGAGGCCTTCCCCTGATGTTGCCTCCTGGCTCTGGGATTCAGAGGATTAGTACCTCTGAAGGTGGGGGGGTCCTCTCAGTCACCAGGGCTAGTAGCCACTCACAGACCTCTCCTCCATGAATCTATCTATAAGAACCTAAGAAGAGCCCTGCTGGATCAGTCCAGTGCTCCGTCCAGTCCAGCATCCTGTCTCACACAGCGGCCAGCCAGTTCCTCTGGAGGGCAAAATAAACAGGGCACAGAGGCCGAGGCCTTCCTAAGAACACCAGAAGAGCCTTGCTGGGTCAGACCAGTGAGGATCCATCCAGTCCAGCCTCCTGTCTCACACAGCGGCCAACCAGTTCCTCTGGAGGGCCAACAACAGGGCACGGAGGCCTGTTCAGGGCGGCTTATAGAGCAGAATAAAATTCTAATAGTACATAAAACACAATAATTTCCAGTAATACATAAAACACAATCACTATAAATACAGTGTTAAAATCAACATAATAAGAAAGTGCTAGCGCAGTTCCAGTTTTCAACATTAACTTCATAGGTCTGCTTCAGTTGTCTGAAGGGGGGAACCAGTTCGGGCAGTAGTTAGAGGGACCAGCGGGTCCGGGCTCATCCACCCTAAGAAGTCAATTGTTGTTAGTAATAATGACGGTGGTCGTGATGGTGGTGGTAGTGGCGGTGGCGGCTCCAAACGCTTGTCGGAAGTGAGGCTGTTCTGCCTTTGGCTGAGTGACGTAACTTGTAGAAATTAAAGCTGTTTGGACAAGTGTCTTGTTTTGGGTTCTTTCTAAACCTCACGTGCCCTGTGAATAAAGGAAAACAGCACTTTCCAAGTAGAGGGTTGCAACCAGGTTAAATTCTCTGGTTCACAGAATCCTTCCTCCCTCTTACTGTCCCAGTAATCTACCTAAACTGTCGCTCCAGAGGGACCCTCATTAACAGTGTGAGAGGCAAACCGGGGGTCTGCAGTAGGGAGGGAACTGCTAGAAATTATCCCACCCCTTCCGTTAGAAGAAAATGTAGTGTGGATCCAGTGCAAAGAATTCAATCTGACAGGGAACAGTGGCTGGAGTGGACGGGGAAGATGAGCGGACCCAGCACCCGACCAACGGCATGCGAGTACTTTTGAGTGGCAGCTGACAGGCCAATGGCTGATGGAGCACACTGTGAGCACACGTAGCCAGTGGATAGGGACAGCTTCTGAGTGACACATCATGGAGCCAACTGATTTAGGAGTGTGTGGGATGTTCAGAAAGTGCCACCTTTTAACTGGAGATGCCCAGGATTGAACCTGGAAACTTCTGCATGCCAGGCAGAGGCTCTGAAACTGAGCCACAGTGGGGCTGTGGCTTTTCCCCTCCAGCCCGGCCCAAGCTTTGTGTTTGGAACAGGAAAGGAAAACACATACTCCGCTAAGATGCTCTACATATATGACACATATTTTCCTCCCACCAGTCAGGTATCCCAGCTCTAGGGTTCAAGCTCGGAGACAGTACAATGCAGCAGCCACTGTGCTGTGTTACCATCTTTTAATCATGCGTTGTGCCTGTGCAGGAAGTGCTTCTGCCAGTATTTATAATTTCCTAAGAATAAAAGTTTCATAAATGGGTAAGACAATGGAAAATTGACACACCTTTTCAGTAGCCCTATTCACATATTATAGAAAACGCAGGCACATCCTATCCATATGTGCATGCATCTGTTTGGGAGAAATAGCCAACACACATTTGCTTTGCAATTTGAAGTGAGGGATCATTACCTGGATAAATGTGGGACTTAAAATCACATCTTCAGTGGCACATGCCTTAAGAACATAAGCCACGTTGGATCAGGCCAATGGCTCCTCCAGTCCAACACTCTGTGTCACACAGGGGCCAAAAATACCAGGGGCCATCAGGAGGGCCACCAGTGGGGCCAGGACATTAGAAGCCCTCCCACTGTTGCCCCCTCCCCCCAAGCACCAAGAATACAGAGCATCACTTGCCCCAGAAATAAGAATATAAGCGAAGTCATGTTGGGTCAGACCGGTGGCCCATCCAGTCCAACACTCTGTGTCACACAGTGTCCAACACCCAGGTGCCATCAGGTGGTCCACCAGCAGAGCCAGAACTCCAGAAGCCCTCCCAGTATTACCCCCTGAGCAGCAAGAATACAAAGCGTCACTGCCCCAAACATAAGAGCACAAGAGAAGCCATGTTGGATCAAGCCGGTGGCCCATCCATTCCAGCACTCTCTCTGTGTCACACAGGGGCCCTCAGGAGGTCCACCAGCAGGGCCAGAACTCCAGAAGCCCTCCCACTGTCACCCCCTCCCAAGCACCAAGAAGACAGAGCATCAGTGCCCCAGACATATGAAGCTACCTTATAGTGAATTACGTAGATCCTCGGTCCTTCAAAGTCCATCATGCCCCAGACACGCATAAAGAAAACTGAAGCATACGCTGAACGTGAACTGTTACATGTGTTCGTTGTTTATGAGCTGTCACGGCTCAGGTGGGGTGTCACCTGACGGCGCTGCCACCACTCTGGATTTAGGTTCCCTTGAGAAGGCCCAGAGCACCCTCCCAAGACCTTCAGACCTCCCTTGTTTGGCCAAATAACAGGCGTGAG